AATACATGATTGATTTAATGTTTATTGCGCACGTAATGCATCCATTCTGATCGGTGCAGTCTATAACTCTCTTAATCGAATTCTAAGTTCTATCGTTCTTTATCATTCTTTCTTATTCAATCGTTGAAATATAATTAGAATCAATCCCAAGTAATCACGACAAAAAGAAATAATATTGTTGTCTATCTAGGTGTACTATTCACAGAAACGAATTCTCTTAACGATCGTTTCATATCATTTCTTTTTCCATAATTATGAATTAACGGAAGTCTAGTCAATCATAAAAAATTAATTGTAAATTCATAAATTGCGTATCGTAATCTATCGTAAAGTCGTTACGTCAAGAATGGATATTTTTCTATCGTATTATTTTAAAGGTTGTAATACATTATGGCTAAATATTTCGCGCATTCTAATTTTTTAATAAGATACTTATGCAAAAAGAACACACACAATACGGAAATCTTTATAATATTTCATCTATTTAAATCTTTTCTTTCTCGCCAATTAATTTTAAATTCAGATGACATGTTTGCAATGCGGATCGCGGACTTCATAAGCGCAGATTGATAGAAAACTATAAGAAAATATACTTGAAATTGTAATTACAGCTTGATGTGTACATCTAATAGTCGATCATAAATCTTTTCCTCTAGTCTAACGTAAATTCGTGAACATGTTGCTTATTGCAGCCTATATACAGGGTGTCTCACGCTCTCCTCCGGGAATTTTGTAAGGACGTAGAATGGGTTGATGTAAACATAAAAGTCCTATACCGTTTTGCGATATTCGCAATAATTATCGAGATATTAATTGTAGAAAATTTGTAAATGATCATGCAGAATATGGTAAATGAGTTATAATAGCGACGACTGTCGTCGTGTACTTATACTTTAGGTCAAATTGAACAAAAAAGTCCTCTACCATTTTGCAAATAATCACATAGATTTTTAATTATTAATTAAAGAAAATTATTGCACGATTTTGCGTGATAATCCACTTATTTTCTTTAATTAATAATTAAAAATCTATGTGATTATTTGCAAAATGGTAGAGGACTTTTTTGTTCAATTTAACCTAAAGTATACACGACGACAATCGTCGCTATTATAACTCATTTACCATATCCTGCATGATCATTCACAAATTTTCTACAATTAATATCTCGATAATTATTGCAAATATCGCAAAACGGTATAGGATTTTTATGTTCATATCAACCCATTTTACGTCTCCACAAAGTGCCCAGAAGAGAGTGTGAGACACCCTGTATATTACAAACGCAATCTGACGGACAAACGCGCGTCGCTTCTGTGCGTGCGTATACATGTGATCTGAAGCTAAATCGCTTGGCGATGCAAATGCGGCCTGATGGACAAACTGATTCGCTTGTGTGCGTGCGTACGTATGTCTGAGAAAAAAAAATGAGAATCTGCGCGAAAATAAAAAGGCGTTTTAGCGGACGAAATTTCGAGATCTCCGTATTGCCTGCACCAACTTTAATCAAACTTGGTGTAAATTACGCGCGCGCTATTATATCAGGAAACTTTCATTAGATTTTTGATTATAGTTTTCGTACTTGAGATATTTGACTTGGAAGACCAATCGATCCAAAAATTCCAGATAAGCTTACACGGTCGCGTTGTTTTGTTCGATACGTACTCGGCGTCGCGCCGCGACCACGGCACTTGATTATTATACTATTTATTATATTAATTATAATTATAATTATTATACTAATTTCTGTACGTGTATATAAAATTATTATATGAAACAAATAGATAACTATATAGCTTAAACTAACTTTATAACTTAAACACTTACCCTTTTTGAGAAACTTTCGACGCAGAATTTAAAAAATGCTAAATAGTTAATACCATTGACGATCGTGTAACAAATTATGAGAAAAAAATGCAGCGTATATACAGTGTTTGACTCAAGGTACACGAAAGCACATTTGTGAAAGTAGAATTATTGCTTGCTTTGCAGGAATATATATTAATATATTGAATTACCTGAAAATTTAAAATCGATTTTTTCAAAAATATGAAGACGAAATTTGTACGTGTGATATATTCTTATATTTTCCTCGTGTATATTTTTTTCTACATTCAATTATTTTAATACATTAACCTGAGCACGAAGAGCTTTAGCATTTCGCAAATAACTACGTAAAATTTCGAGATATTAATGAAAAAAATCTGAGCGCTCGTTGTTGGACTATGCCTTATAAGCGCAAGATCTCATCGAAAATGATTAAAACGCTACTGTCTTTTAGCAAAGACGGATATCGTCTGATAGCTCAAGACAGAGTAAGGATGCGAACAGCGTGATAATAATTGTTTTTAGATGTATGGCGAACGTGTGGCAAAAAAGCAATCGCATTTCGAATAATTTTGATGATATCTCGTGTTAACAGAACTTGTCCCACAACATTGGCGTAGGTTGGTTCATTAATCTTTTTTATTAAGTATATAAACGCTAATATTACCGTCAAAATTTTTTTAAAGAAAGTATTAAGCATTCCAAATAATCGGTTCTCCAAATCGGTTCTCGAAATCAGTTTCTCGTTATTTTACGTAGTTATTTATAAAATGTTAGGGATTCCTTTGTTCAGGTTCTTTTCTCGTGCTTTATCTTCACATATAGTTTTGTAGGGCTTACGTCAGACACTCTGTATATACAAAGAAAATATAAGAATATTTCACACATACAAATTTCGTCTTTAAATTTTTTGAAAAAATTGATTTTGAGTTTTTACAATTCAATATATCGATATATATTCCCGCGAAGCAAGCAATACGGAACTTTCCACATCTGATGCTACTCAGTACTGGCTACTTGTGTAACTAGCAAGCAACACGGTTGAAATGAACTTTATAACAAGAAAATAGAAGTAGTATTTGTAAGAAGTAGTATTTATAGTAGTAATTTGAAGTTGTATATATGCGCGTGCGTCAGCGCAATAATTATACATTCACACAAAAACATTGGTTTGCATTCATTATAATAGTAATTGCACATTTTATCGTTTTTATTTACCCCATTTCTGCAACTCATTACGACGCAATTTAAACTCTTAAGATTTTATCGATTAAACAAGGTCGTTATAAGCAGATGAAATTTAGTCATAATTATATGGCACATTCTGTGTTCGAAGATAAATACCTATAATGTATATGGAAAAAAAGGATTTGCTGCAGCAGCAAACAAATTACATATGGATATATATGGATATATGGACAATTAAATGTAATTAGCTATATCAACTACGTTTTCCTTGCTACAAGAACCTACTTCCTTATTATGATAACAAGAAAAATGGTTCCTATAACAAAAAAGTAGTTAATGCAGCAAATTATGTTTAGTTATCTATATATAGCAAATTTTTTTTCCGTAGTAAAAACTTTAAGTTTCTTCTATTATTCTTATCAATGCATTATTAATTACGATACATTTTCAGTGATGTATTCATAATAGACTCTAACAAAACGACAAGATACGCTAAGTCTCTATAGGATTTCTATTATATTAAAATAATGGAATATTCTTCTAACAGGGAACGATAGATAACAATAAAAAACAATTAGATTACCTACATATCCCATCGGTTTCTATCATTTTCTCTCTTTTAATATTTTTATCACAGAAACCTGTTGCGGTTTCAATTTTAAAGCTATTTTTACAGTCCTATAAAATTATTACATATAATAATTCTATTCTAATCTATCTAACCGCACGGTTAACGCAGTGCAGTAAAACGTAGGAACAATAATGTTACCACAAATAGCAGCGTGATGTTCTTTATTGAGAATCCTTTATTTATTGAGATATCATGAAATATGCTGCTTATTTTGCCGGAAAGAGAATGCAATTAATCAAGAATTATTATAGAAATATAAACCTAGTACTTTGACTATAATTATGTATAAATAAATAATAAATAGATAAATAATAATAAATAATAATAAATAGATAGAAATAATAATAAATAGAAATTTATTTTAGAAACGTACAGTTGTAACAATAACGCCAAGTATCCATTTAATAATCTGCATGCTGCGTTAGTATGCTCTGCGTTAGTATACTCTGTCTATCTAGGTTTTAACATGGTTTATAGACCATGTTAAAAAAAGCTAATTTCTTATTCCTCGGGAAAATGGATAAAACCAACTCCACACGTTTTCTACACATAAATACAAACCAAAAGTACATCTAAGACTGCCCGAAACGTTGGGGAAAACTTTTGGCAACCTGTTTGACTTGCTAAATAAGGTGTTGAAACAGGACCACTTTTCAGTATGTAAACCGAAACGCATTAAATTGAGATTCTTCCCGAGTTCTCACGGCTTTGAATGATCTGAATGGAATTTGAATGATTTGTGTGAATGAAAACGAATGGAAGATGTTTATGGTTAGTTCTGAGCTTATCATATTCCCCGTATAGGTCGAAATCTCGGAGGATGATCATCTTTTTGCGGAAAAAGCAGTCAAATGGCGTCCGGAGGAACAGTGCTGACCTCAGAATTCAGAAGCTGAAAGCTTGTAGCCTCAACCTAGGACTTAATCAGCTATGCTTATGAGCTATTCTTATAGAAATATCATACTAAGAAATACTGAAAAATTTATAGTGATTAAATATTACCAGTAATTCAGTAATTTTTTGGCCAGTACTTAATTTCTGGTGAATACTGATAATAAAATCACTGTTAAATATTGATAGTAATCAAATACTGAAAATTATTATGCGAAGGTGAAAAATGAGAAAATCATAATGTTTACAAAAATATACTTATATTCCTAATTTTTTCATGTCTCATAAACTACTAGATATCGAAGGTTGTCAAACACATTCCAAACTTTCATGAATCCTTCTGCGATAATTTCGATCCCAAGCGGTATTACCATTGATAACCCATCCATGTCCTGACCGCATTAAAAACTGTTGCTTATTAACCTGACGATCGAGCGCGCACGCGGTGACTCTGATGACTCCAACGATGTTCTTACAATTCATGCTTATATAATGTATCCTTATAGTGTTCACAGTATATTATAATATATCTAGCAAACACCAAATAATAGTTATATAATTTTTACTTGTTGTTTATTGGATAATTTGTTGATAGATATTGAAACAATGCAACATTCGATATGC